TTTTTGCATTTATACTGCCCAGGCTAGCCTATACTATGATCCAGGATATGCTCCCCATTATAGCCAGGATGGCAGATGTGCACCACCATAGTGTTATAGGTTGAGATGGAGTCTCATTAACTTTTTGCCTGAACTGGCCTTAAATTGTGGTCCTCATGATCTCAGCCTCCCAAGCAATTAGAATTATAGGTGTGAGTCACTAGTGCTCAGCCCTGATTTGTTTTTTGAAATAGGGTTTCACTATTTGCTGGAGCAATCCTCCCATCTCCACCTCTGGAGTAGTTGGTATTACTGGTGTGTGCCACCACACCAAGCAGAAGCAATACCTCTTTAATTTAGACCTGGTTCTTCCTCAGCTTAGACATGAATGGCAGACACTTTTAGAAGGTCACTATTTTTCCCAGCCCAAGGAATTACTGTTCACATGAAATTCTATAGAAGTATTGTCTCCTGAAGTATAAGGCTTTTAAAAGATTAGCTCATTAGACTCTTCAATGTTCAAGTAGACTATTGCTAATGTGAAATGTGGCAAGATTTGAAATTAGAAGATAGACATTCAAACAACTTGTCTGACGCCTTCCCCCAATGTACTGTGTGATTTCATGAATCTGGGCTTCATTTTTGGGAAGGTTAAAGCAATAATGAAATACATCTGTTGAGGAAAGTAGGAGAAGGAACAAATAATGATTTTATCTCTATACAAAGCTCTAATGAAGAGGAAGTTGGTGGATTTGAGCGTTATAGGGTGTAGGCTTCTTATGAAAAAAAAAATACAAAGCACAGGACTTCCAAGACTGACTTGACATTCCAGTCATGAACACTGCACACAAGATTAGCTGGTAATGCTCAAGTACATTGGGTAAATATTAGGTTTGAAGGCAAAGATACTTAATGTGCAAGTATTTACAGGATTAAGTGAGGCATAAACTGATATTTAACACCTCAAAGGATGAGAAGGAAGATGGTGTTGTGGTTATCCCACAGAGGAAGTTGGAACTTCTCACCCAACCTATAAGGTCTTCTGGGTGAAGCAGGCTATGATCTTAAGCAAGTCTAAAAAGGGATTGTGACAGTGGGGAAAGCCAATTGACTTGGGGTTGTAAGAGTATTGGGGCTGGATAGAGGGTTCTGGTTCTCTTGTATGGGCTAGGGCTTGTGTGGTCTGAATTTCTCCTCAGGGCAAAAGAGGGATATCCAAGCATTCTTGTTAGATTGTCTAGATGTGGTAAAGGGGAAAAGGAAGTGTGGTTAGGATACCTCAAAGCCCACAGACTGAGGGATCATTAGGAAACATGGTTTGAGAAAGAAGCCACTACAAGGGGCTTGCCAGTGACCAGGGAGAATGGCCTCTCTTTGGGCATTCAGGAAGTATGATGGAGTGAATGTTTAGAAGCAGATCACACTTTCAAGACCACTAGTTCTATTTCTTTTGTTGTTGCCTTGCTAGAGTCTACTTACTCCATGTAATGACTTCAGGATTTCTAAAAGCCTAAAAAAGACACCACCTACTATGGTGTGATAGAAAACTCTCAACTTTGCTGGAGAAGAACTTGAAGTCAGCTGGGTTTGTGGTTAGGCTAAGACACTATCATTATTTCATCATCATCTTCTTCATTTTTATAGTTCTTAACAAACACTTATTATAGTACTAGTATACAGTACTACCATTACAGGTAAAAAGAAATGAGTGAGAAATGAATGGACTTAGTGTTCAAGTAGCTGAAAGAAAACCTCCTGTTTGGTTGTTATTAAAGATTTTCTCTTTTTTTCCCCCTTAATATTCTTAGACTTAGCTAGGATCGTATAGATTAAATGTCTCTTCACCAAAACTCTATTCTTCAGACTAGACCACTTTTTTTCTCTTGTCTATGTTTTTAGATATTGGCCCATTTTCCCCTTAGCTTGTTGCTGTCTACCACTTGTCCCAGAACATTCTTTCACTATTCTCCTCCCAAGAACATGCACCTGGGACATCACGTGAGGGTAAGAGTTCTGTTTCCTTGATTGTGTCTCATTCTTTCCTTCTAACTAAATGTAGGGGTTCTGAGTCTATTCCCTCAGTGCTTTTGTAAGAAAAAAAAAAGTATCTGGACCTGACACCTTATAGAAGCAAAGATTTCAGAAGTTTAAATATGACTTCATTCCAAATGAAAAACCTAGGCTTAGGAAGGTTATGTATCATACTGTCAATGACAGATCACTCAAGAGCAGAACAAGGAGCTTTATAATTTCAATTGCTATGCTCTACTTACCATATCGCAAAATACCAAGAATATCACATTTTAATAAGATGACTCAGAAATAAGAAGAGAAGGTGGTAGGGTAGGACAACTCACTTCTCAAATTACAACACACAGGTGCTACATGTTACACTAGTTCCTATTTCATTATTTAGAAGGTCAATCTTGAAAATTCCAAAATAAATTGTCAGAAAGGTCTGAACAAACTGGTTTGACAAAACCAACTCATACTGCTTTCGCTCAAAAAATCTAAGTGGCAATATTATTATATTTGGACTTAAACACCCTTGGAAGGATTTGTCAGGTTGAAAATAAAATATTAATCATTTAGAGCCCTTGACACAGAACAAAAACTCAAGCAAACAGGAGCTTTCTCATTTACATGAAATGTATGTCTATTTTGGAGAAAATAATTTTAAGCTAGAAGAAAAATGGAAATTGCTCATGTGTTTTATAGCTATTTTTAGTCACACATTTCTACAGTTTGTTTCATATACCCATAGTACAAAATGTGATACTCATAAATTTGCTGCCAATATTTCTTTCGTTATTACAATTTGAAAAGATGTTGGAATATCACAGTTAAGTTGAAATTTTTGCTCTAACCTTTATTTCCTTCCTTACACCAACTGTGGGTTTAGTTTGTCTTAGTTTTTCTAGTTTCTTAAGACATAATGTTAGGGTATTTGGGATCTTTTGGGTTTTATTTGACAAGCTCTTGACTGGGTTCCCACTCATGATCCTCCTGTCTCAGCCTCCCAAGTGCTAGGATTACAGGTATGTACCACTATGACTGGCTTTATTTGGGATCTTTCTGGATATAGATGTTTATTGGTATAAACTTCTCTCCTCAAACTTTTCTTGCTGCATCCATGTGTTGGTATGTTGTTTCCATCCTCATTTGTCTCAAGATACTTTTCAATTTCTCTTTAATTTCATTAATGCATTGGTAGTTCAGGAGTGAGTTAATTTCCATGTATTTGTGAATTTTCTGCAATTTATTCTGATTTCCTATCATTGTGGTTTGAAAAATACTTGATTTACACTTTCTTATATTTGACTTGTTTTATGGATTAATGATTATCTGTTCTGGAGAATGTTCTACATGAACTTGAGAATTGTGTACTACTGCTGTGAGATGGAGTATCTATACATGTCTGTTACATCTATTGGGCCTGAAGTGTAGTTTAAGTCTGTTATTTCCTCGGTTTTCTATATGGATAATCTTTCCATTGGTAAAAGTAGGCATTGAAGACCTCAACTATTATTCTATTAGTCTCTTCCTTCAGATCAATTAAATTTGCTTTATATGAAATGCCACAAAAAGTTCTGAGATAGGTTCAATGTCAGTAGGAATGTTTTACTGTGCTCTCATTTAATTCTCAGTGACAACCTGCAACTGTCATGATCCTTATTTTACTACGCCAGAAACTGAATAAAGTTGTTTTACACCACATAGTAGCTAATAAATGGTAGTATTTAATTTACCCCAAGACTGTTTGTCACAAAGTCCATATTACTTACATGCACCCCAATCCCAGTAGGTTCTGTTATATGGCATTGACATATACTTTGACCATCACCCAGGGATTATACCTTAAATTACATGGACATAAACTCACACATCCACATAATGGAAAGAGTTTTACACACAGTTGCTACTTTTATTGATGGTGGTGAGTTTGACATTTTCTATTTTATACCATTCTGTTTAATGGCAATTATGCCTCACTAAATTGATATGGATTAGTAGGTCTTTTAATTTGGAAGCCCTTGATCTAAATGCATGTATAAGATATTTTAGTGTTTGCCATCCAATTACAAAAGTGCATGTTGAGATTTATTGACACAACTGTCTGGATCAATTACTATGTATAGGTCACCTCAATGTTTTCCAAGTTTCGTTTTCTTTTCTCACCTCTAATGTTTGAGTACACTAATGGTCTTTATTTTTAAGAAAGCTGCTGACATAAAACACAATGACTTATTACTACCAACTCAGATATAATCTAAGTAGTTGTACTTAAGCAGGAGAAAAGTATATAAAAGTCAACTGAATCTAGGTATGTTGGTCTATAATTTTGAGTGCAGTTTTGTTCCCATGATAAGCACCTTTTTTTGAAAACACTTGAGAGTATCACGACTACCAAGCACCTAGAATCTGAGTTCAGCATAAAGGGAGCACTGTGTTCAAGCCTAAACCTATTTCTCAGTCTCTCTCTCCTCCCTGCTCTCTGCCCCTTGCTCTGGTTCTCCCATCCCACTGTACCCATCCTTGTTCATGAGGTTGGAGCTGGGCACCCCCAGGATTTCCCTTGTAGAGATGAAACCCAGGAAGAATGCTGACACAGTGGAAATCTAGTTCATCCTTAATGAAAACTTCACCCATGTGACATATCTTCACTACACATTTTTAAAAAAATATTTGCAGACATTTTTGTAAAGTTTAACGTATTGGTGTAGGTGTGTAGAATTCAATGTAAATAACTACCAGGCCTCAAAAGGGCTGTATGATTTTTTAAATCATAATTTTTGTAAGTATGGGAGAAATGTTTTACTGCTGGAGCTCCACTTAAATGTTTTTGTTTCAACCAACTCTCTGACACTTTCTAAGGGTGGCAAGTCTTTCTGTGAATAGTTAGTGAAATAACGGTATAGAGCGTAAGTTTTATGAACATTCCTAAATTGAACACAAACTATCTGCTGCACAGATGTACTACTAAGAGCTATAGATAAAAAGTACAGGAAAATTATTTCACTAATTCAATTATTTTATTTGGTGTCAAAGCAAATAAGTGATTTCGTCGGTAATTTTTAGAAGAAACACCTCTAGAAAATAACAATTTTATTATCAGTTGTGCTACTAGAAATAATACTGAAGAGGAAGTTATTTATTGAAGTCTTTACACAGATTTTTTTTATATCCACTTAGGTACAAAACTTCTGTAAGAAAGATAACACTTTTATTGCATTATAATTTCATATTTTACAAGAGTCATAATGCAAACCCATAAGCATAAATATATACATAATGCAACCAAATGGCAATGTAACCACTAAAAGATCCAAAATGTAAAACTGGACTTTAACAGGCAAAATATTTAATATGGCTTTTAATGGAAAATAACTGTTTAAAAATGATTTGTTATTGCCCCATTCTAGTCATTCCCCATCAGGTGAACATAAAATTATGATCACCATTTAAGGTGGTGCATGTTATCTAAGTCAAGGTTGTATATATTTTGTAACATGTATATAATATGATTTCTGTATTTCCTTAAATATTCATACATATGTACACATATATAGTGATATACAGTACACAGACAGTTCTGTTTTAATACCCCTGAACATCTTGATTAAAACTATTACAATGTTTCTATTATAAAACTACTTGAAAAGTTGCCATACTTCTTGGTATTGAAGTTTAATCCTACAGAATTAAAAAAAAATGTTGGGTTATAAATACATTCTTTACAAAATTTTGAATAGTGGTCCTGCACTCATACTTTATATTACAGTGAAAACATTTTATGCATTTGAAGGTATTTACATCTTATTTTCTGTGTGAAATATACAGAAGTTAGTTGATAGTGAGAATATTGTAGGCAGGCCTATTGGTTAGGTTTTTTAGCTTGTTCATGTTGTGTAGGTTCTAATTTTCTTCTTTGGAGTTGTTGATTTCTAGTTGCCTTGTATTACTGCTGCTGCTGCTTCTTTTGGTGTTCTGGGAACACTGGGCGACTTTACTTCTAGGAACAGGAAGAAAAGATTTAACTCTTGAGACACCCAACTCAGTCTTTGATTTATTGTTGCTGCATTCAGTAGTTTGATGGCTGCTGAGAGGACTGGCCTCCTATAAGAGAAGAGATACCAAACAAGCTTATCACTACAAGAAACTTCTGTTATCAGTCCTCATTCTCTCTTCTCTGTCTCCCTACAAAGAGATTTTCAGGAATGATTAAATCCAATAGACCTACTGCCTGATTTTCATGAGGTTCTCCCAGGTATCACAAACCTCCCAAATATAGCAGTTGGTGAATGAGTGTTAATGAGTCGAGAATCACCTTACCAACAGGAATTTCACAAATTCTAAGCCTGAGGAAAGAACCAAAATGGTTGGACTAGTCCAATTGTTATGGTTTGGAAATGAAGTTTACCCTGCCCCTCTGCCCCTACCCCCACAAAAGGGCTCACATGTTGAAGGCTTGGTCCCTAGCCAATGGATCCAATCAATGGGAGGTGATTGGCTCATGAGGGCTTTGACCTCATGGATTAATCCACTGATGGATTAATAATTTGATTACATTATTGGGAGGTGATAGAAACCTGCAAAAGTGGAGTTTATTTGGAGGAAGGAGGTCACTGGAGTATCCTTGGGGGTTATATCTTGTCCTAGACCCCTCTCTGGCCACCATATGAGCAGCTCTTCTCCAGCATACCTTTCCACCATTATGTTCTGCCTCACCACAGGCCTGATAAAATGCAACCAGCCTACCATAGACTAATCTCTGAAACCATAAGCCAAAACCTTTTCTTTAAAATCATTTTTCAGGTGATTTTATGACAAAAAAGCTAACACACCAACTATTTATAGGAAGCTCTACAAATTATGTCACCTTGGGTAAGTTACTTTTCTGCATTTCAACGATTACTGTTTGAGCATTTAGTACAAAACAAGCACTGCTCTAGTTGGTGTAGCATATAGCAGAGAACATAAAAGATACCTTCTTGCCTAACTGGAGCTTACTCTTCAAGTGAATAAAGGTTCCTGCTCAGCAATTCTGTGACTAGGAGATTCAAAATCTTCCACACTGACAAACTGCATGCTCTCATTTTTCCATTTTTCCTAAGCCTCAGAACCCTTGTGATCCCCTGGCCAATTTCTCCCATTTTGCTTCTGAGAAATGTGAGATCTGGATAGGTAAGATGATTTGCCCATAGTCAGGAAGCTGGAACAAGATCTCAGGTTTCTCTAATTTCACTAAAGGTGTTTTGTCCTGTACTGTATCATATTCTGTTGCTTCACGGTCTGCAAATGGGATATGAGACCTCCTAAATGAACTGTTCTGTGTACCTCTGAAAGAATTAACATCAATTATTTCCCCTCTTTCATAGTAATAATGAATGCTCCAAACAACAATGTAACCATTACACATTTAAAAACTAGAATTCAACAGGCAAAATACTTTCTACCAAAAGTCATATTAAGTAACAGTTTGACTTCAACTGGCAGTTGTATTCTTCCTGATGTCTGTAGTTCTCAAGTTGACTGATAACTAGCTGATCCACAAAGTCTGAGATTTAATTGGTCTGGGGAATTGCATGGACACATGGTATTAAAAGGTTTCCTACACAAATATAATGTGCAGCCAAAGTTGAGAACCCCTACATTAACTCCTCACTGTATCTTTTCTCACCTATTAAATGGTGGCCTAATTCTGAGCCTTCTCTGTTCACACAGTTAATTTTTCCCTTCTGCCCATTCTGTGTGTCTCAATTATTAGCATGAATAAAATAGCTCACCAAATTCCACCTCTAGCTATCATTTACCTTGAGCAGAAAACTTAGTTACTTTTAACAACACCTCTTTCTTCCAATGAATCCAAGGTTGCCTGAAAAATGGGCAGATAACTATGTTGTGTTGGTGCAGATAGAAAGAAAAGGGATCATTTAAGTCCTCACTTACTATAGAGGTCCCAAACCCCTATGTTTGCCACTAGTGGTTTTGCTAAGTTTGGGTCCAATCTCTCTTTCCCTCTATTTCCACCTTTTAAAATCCTAATATAATTCTATGAAGCCCAGCACATGTCCACTAAGGCACCCCTAAATCATTAATGTGAAATTTACAGGTACCAGATCTTCAGAGCCAGCTAATCCTAAATGGTAAGACAGCTGTGCAACTCTAATATGCCTTTGGCTAGAGGTTTCATCACTCTTATTTTTTCCCAAACATCATGTATGTAGTAAATGAAGAGTAAGGAGGGATCCAGATCCCATGTGTTTTTAGAGGAAAGGAAATAAGAGTAGACTGCAAAAGTGATTAGAAAGCAATAGTTTCCAGACAAAAATTCCTTCTGCATGGGATCATGAAATAGTTATAGTCTGTTGTACTAAGACCAATGACATCCAAGCAAGCCTAGGAAAAAAAGACTGAGCCACAGCTGGTTAGGATACACATGTACCAGTAGATACTTGTCACTTCCATTTGTACTTTATGGAAACTTAAAGGTGAAGTGGAAAATGAAAGAAAATGAAACTCAATCTGATTAGCATGTTCTGTTTTTGTTTTGGATACAACTGTCAAGTTGCCAGAAAGTGAGAAATAACTGTATTGCTTATTGTAAGTTGGATGTTTACAGTCGTGTGCTAAGATGTGATTGTAAAAAGCAGTGCAGGCACCATAATCTAACTTCCTTTCTCCTTATAAGAAATTACTTTAAGTGTGTAAAATGGGAATTAAACATGGGTCTACCAAGGCCAACTCCAACTGAAAGACTGATTGAAAACACCAGCAAATTCAACACATACACAGTATTCAGAAAACACTGTGGGCTGGTGTTGTAGCTCAGTGGTAGAACACTTATCTAGCATGCACAAGGCCTTGGGTTTCATCTCTACCACCACCACCACACACACACACACACACACAAAAGTATGTAATAAAATAAAAAGGATAAAATAATGCTGGCATACCGAATCAAAACTATAATTTTACTATTACTGTGAACTCCCTTTGGCAGTTCATACGGTTAGTGCCAACACCCAAAAGGAGGAAAGGAGATGCAGTGTGTTCTTTCCTATTCTGTTCTTTGATTTGCATCATGAGGGCTAGGGGAAATGCCCACATAAAATGAAGTGCCAAAAAGCCACCTCAACAGTTAAAAATGTAGTTTGGGTGTCTAGGTTGAGTCAGTCTCTGGAGGTGTGAGGATAGGATGTGAGGTGGATAAAGACATGGGGAAGTACTTGGGCTTAGTGTGGGGCACAGGAATTCAAAGCTGGGTGTGCATGAACAGAAAAGAGTACTTGTGCATAGTGTCCTGCACAAAAGAGCAATGTTCCTGACACTCTGGCAGCCAAGCATAGGTCTCCAGGAATTTTCCCCAAAGATCCTTAGAGTAGGAAAGTTAACTGGGTGGTTAATGATCCCCAGGCTAAAACTTCAAAGCTGGCTGTATTAAACATATAAAGTTCCTAACAATGTTGCTATGCATGTTTAACTAAAAAGGAAAAGGCTCCAATTTGTATAGAAAGGCACTTCCCTAAAGTAGTTTTAATGATTTATCCTTAAAGAATTATTGTTAAATTATAGCAATCCATTCATTCGATATTAAATGTCTACCAGAAGCTAAGCAGACACTGCAATCCCTCTGGATGGGAAAATAGTGGGTAAGAAGAAATGGAAAACCCGTATAGAGATGGATCTTTAAAGGTGAAGAGGTGAGAGTGTATGCTAGAGGCAGGAAAATGGGTGAAAGGGCGGGGAGTACATAGTGTGGTGTGGGGAGAATAGGTTACATGTAAAAAGGTACAGAGTCATGTGAAGGTGTGTCCACTCTTCTAACCATACATTTGGAAAGAAACTGGGTGGAAAATAAGGATGAAAGACCAACGGTATATTTCAGAGTGGTGGGTCTCAGCCTTGGCTGCACACGTAGATCACCAGGGTTCTTTGAAAAACCCAGAGTTTTTCAATTACATCAATTACATCAGAACTTCTAGGGGCAGACTCTAGGTAGTGAGAATTTAAAAGAAAGTCTTCAAATGAATTTCATTATGCTACTCAAGAGGAGAACTTTTGCCTTAGTTTAAGAGATTGGTTTGAACCTACTTAAGAGGAAAATATTTATTAGTATTTGTCCTTTCTATTGATGATGTAAGTGTACATTTGTTGTTCTAATTCTAACTAACATTCCCTTAATAAATTCATTTACAGTCCTTTACTGTTAGAGCCAAAAGGAGTTATATTGTGAAATTCTTTTCTGATGGAGAATAGTAGCTGTAGGCCCCTCTCTGATGGAGACATAACCAGCCTTCTGGATGTGAAGGAGAGTGATTTTAACTAACCCAGAGTGGTTTCACCTCTAAAAAGGGTTACTTCCTGAAAACAGAAAAAACTGGACATAGAATCAAGAAATGCTAGTTGATTTACCAGGAAGATAAAAAAGGAAAGAGCCTGGCTGCTTTCAGAAGGCTGCTTCAGAGTGACATTCTGCCATCTGTTGGCAGGATCGGAGAACACCTTCTAGTTGTTGGGGAAGAGCCCCTCCAAATATCTTCAGCGGGCAAAGAAGGAAGGACTGGAGACAGCTGTCCTAACACTCACATCAAACTGCACATTTAAATAACCATATAGTTCTTCTTAAGAGCACAGATAGGATAAAGGGCCCCTTTATTTTTAAAGTTCTTGTTGAAAACAAAACTATTCTGCGCTCCTAGAGCTTCTACCACTTTCAGTACTATGTTTAATGACAATACATATTGGAGCAGTCCAGAATAGTTATATCATAGAGAAACAGGGGTACAAAATATTTCTCCATTAAACATTTAAACAACAGCAACCAGCCTCTACTAGACCAATATTTTAATATAAGGCAGTGACTTTGCCCTGTGGAGAAACTGGCTCATTGTTCCACTCCCTAGTCCCTCATGGTCACTTCCTCTATATTCTACAAGGAATGGTCCCTGTAGAATGGTCCTAGTGAATCAAAACACACGCTCTGGTCTCTAATTAAGCAAAGCTCAGAGCAGGCTGTCATATACAAATTGAGGCTTTAAAGATAGCAAAAGTACAGCTCTAAGCAAGGTATTTTCTTATTAAAATGCTCAGAAATGACCGTAGGTCACTTTCTAGGTCATTTGCCCTTAAGTGTTCTTTATATTGAGCTGTGCTTCTAAACTGTTCTGAACTGATGGGGAGTGGGGGCAGACATTAAGATAGAGTGAGCTGGGAAGTCATGCTCTTCTTCAAAGCCTGTCATGTTGTTTATTCTATTAGGGACAGCAGCCCTGCAGCTCCTTCCTTCTTCCTTCAATGTGTACAGCTCTCACAGTTTCATATATAACTAACAAGAACTGAAATCTAATGAAGCAGTGAGATAGCAGAGGCTGGGAGCCCAGGAATGCCAGGTGCTCAGGTAAAAATTAGTAATTCAAATAGTCACACCATACTTACATTATAATCCCGCTCTGCACCCTGCCTGTCATCACACTCACAGGTCTTTGTAAGCCACCATGGGAGTAGATGAGAACAGGATGTGAATGGCAATCGACATGGCTTGGTGAACAAACCACATATTACTAAATGCCTTTATAAAATCTGCATCCTCACAAAATAACGGTGGGCATAGAGTCATTTCATTGTTTGTATTCATTCAGGAATACCATGCTGTGCTGTCTCTTGCCATTTATTAACCAGTCAACAATGGAACATGGCACAGTCATGGAAGCAACTGCAAGAGGTTAATAGAATCTATTGGAATCTTGGCTCTCTGTTTGCCATTCTGACTTGTTTTTAAAGGAAAGTCTCTCACTAAAATGAAATGCATGTTTTTGGCAGGTTAGGAAATTTGAAAAAAAATGAAATGTTTAAAAAAAATGTGTAATATCTGATCACTCAGCCCTTTGCTATAATGAATATAAATGTCTCAAAAGTCAAGAAATCTTACAAGTTCTTAAATGAAAAACACCACACTTTAAAATAGAATAGCCAAGAAGACAGAAATTACATTATTTATATTCTGGCATTAAAAGAATGAAAGCAAAGGGAAACCTCAAAAGACACCCAAAATTTTGAAAAACAAAATTCAAATATTAAATAGAAGGAATGAAAGTAATGCCTTTCTATGTCATTATTTCAAGATATTATCCAAACTACAATCTTCCTTATCTTGACTAATGAGCACTTTTACCTTTATCCTGTTTCTCAATTCCTAGGTGTGATTTAAAAATAACTTTGTGATTCAAACTGAAAGAAGGTTTGTGAAATCGATTTCATAACAATCCTTCTTTGTCCCATTTTGGGGACACTTACCTTTTGTGACACTGGCATTCTTGGATTATTAAAAGGTTCTGAAAATTCAGGGTTGTTTCCTGAGCTATCAAACCTCCTTAAATCATCCAAGGAATCAGCAATCTGAAAAACATACAATTTACCGTCAGGTATATGCAGTAATACTGAGACACACTCAAAGCATACTACATGTCCCAGTCGGAAACATAAAGTGTTCCCTTCTTCCCTGACCCGACAGAATTCTATAGAGCATAACCCCAAATCTTGTACTGCTCACATAAATGGCTTGAAGTTTTCTGTGAAACTAAAGGAAAGAGTTTATGAAAAAGGTCAAAAGAAGAGCAGAACTCTGCAGACATTAAAAACAAACAAAAAGGCCAATTGGCAAATAAAGAGAAGATACAAAATTTGCAGTTTTTAATCATTACCTTATTTCTCCAGTGGGTAAGAATTTCAGTTCATTTCCAGCAAGGTTAAAGAATATACTGAATTCTACTTTGTCCTAGAGATTACTTCTAATCACATGTAATTGTTGAGTCTTTGGTGGAATCTGTGCAAGCTGTGACTATCTTTGCATGCTCCCTTCCAAGTAAAAGGCATTTATGGAGGAAGATTGGTCAAACCTGCTGAAGATATATCAGAGTGCCGAAACAGGTTGAACTTGATGCTAATAATGTTTTCTTTTGAGATTTAAAATCAATGATTTCCATATATGGATCTCAAGTTTCACAGCTTAAAGACCATGACAATATGCATTATACAGGCTTATGCCTTTTCTTATTTACAAAAAAAGGTGCTGTTGTTCTATCTATAATCTGAGTCTGCCATGAAGCTTGTTACAATTTCCTCTTACAGACGGTTTATATACCAAAGTTATCTATAAGGAATGTCTGAGGAAACTCAAATTTAGGCTTATATAAAAAGCTGCCTATGGGAGGCCAAGGCAGAAGGATCATGAGTTCAAGGCCAGTCTGGTCTACACAGAAAGACCCTGTGTTAAAACACAAGGGGCTGGGGATATGGTTCAGTAGTAGAGTGCTTGTGTGGCATGAGCAAGGCCCTACATTCAATATCCAGCACCACTTAAAAAAAAAACCTTCCCAAATGTGTTGGTGTGATTTGTCCTAATACAATTAACATAAAATTTAAACTTCAGGTCTTTCAGAGAAGCAGAACTCCCTTAATGTGTAACTAATAGTTTGGGAAAAACAGCTTTTTTAAGTGAAGTGAGGGATGCTTTGATTTGGAGTGTTCACCATATTATTCAATGAGAAACTTACTGATGTGGCTCCAAGTGTTCTTTGATAAAGGTTAAGTCTCTGTTTTGTGTAGAGCAAGTTGGTCATTGCCTTCACCCCTGGCTATGGCTTACCTTGCTTATGTCAGATTCAGATTTGCTGGAGCACATACTCTGAAGCTCCTTGACAAGATCTGCTTCATCATCTGAACCAAGAGAGAGTCTCTGATCCAAAGTCAATGGCACTGACAGGTCATTCTCTAAGGACCTAGCACAAAGTTCAGAAGGGAGTTTTCAAAGTGGCAACAAAAACCCAATTCCCAATATGGGAATCAACACTGTACCTGTTTTGTTTTAATTTGATGTAGGATGGGGAAAGGGATTTTAATATCCTTTTAAGTATTTTATAAAAGTCATTTAGTGCAACAAACTAGGGATAAGAATACTAATAAAAAAATCTCCACAGGATTTTGCTAATTCCACTCAAAATTCTCAATAAGATAAAATTTTATTCCACAGAGAAATCTACTTGGACTTACACCATTCCGGTCTCCTTTCTCTTCCCTTTTCTACTCTGTCTCTCAAGCCAGATGTTAAAAAAGACATTAAGTACTGTGGTATGGGGGACAATGTACCAATTTCAAACTTGGCTGTACCTCTCACTAGCAATATGGCCATGGGTCAGGTTGCCTTTTTTTCCTACACCTCAGTTCCTGGGTTCTATTCCCTGTAAAGACTCCTTATACCTACTTCTAGGACTAATAGGAAAACATGCTATGATAGTATGCTTGGCAAAAAGAAGCATGAAATCCAGTTTCCTTTATCCCCTTTGTCTTTCTTCCCCTTCCTAGTTTCTGACATGCTGAAAACCAGGACATAGGGCCCTAAATCTTACTTGTCAAATCACAGGGGACAAGATTCAATGGGCTACTATGGGACCTATTTGCAAACTGCCCAAATATTTCTGTTCTATAAATAAACAAGTCATCCTTAACAGCTCAAAAATGTGGCAGCTGAAATAATAAATAATTCCATAGGGAAAACATAAGAAAATAACTGAAATTGTGGCTGCAAACATGTAGCACTTAAAGGTAAACAAGTCATGCTACATGAATTTCAAAAAAATCATCTGCAGACTGTCTAAAGGTTCACAAATGTATGACTGTACCATATATTGGTCAAACGCATTAAAAGTGATCAAGTTTGATTTTAAAAGAAGCCTAGTGGAACTATCTATGGAACCAGGGAAAGAAGGAAAGGAAAAAAGAATGATAGGGGCATCAGTTAATATCATAGAACATAATATCTGTGAAGGAAGAGGCTATAAGGATATGTAGTGAAACCTGCTGAATAATGAGGGGTGGGAGGGAGGTAAAAGGGTAAGGGGGAGCACTGGAAGAGATTGAATGGACCAAAGTGAAGTATACTCATAGCAGGGATGCACTGAGGAACCCCTTTGACATCAACTTAAATATTCAGAATGAAAGACAAGACTATAAAATAGGTACAGTGTATGTGTGGGGGGTACTAGTGGGAGGGAAAGGGTGAATGAAGGAGATTAAAGTGAGGGTATCTGGTTGATAGACTTCCTATATGTATATAAAACAGAACAAAGAAACCTCTTGCAATTGCTTTAAGTGAGGCAGGGAGGAGGTTGAGGGGGAGAGACGATGGGGGCGATATAACTAATTTATAATACAAGCCTAACTGGAATTGTCACTATGAATCCCACCTCATAATGAATATATCCTAATAAAAAATTTTAAAAATAAGCCTATATTTCCAGCTTTATTTAACAAACTAAAAGCAAAACAGGTTTTGTATTAATTTATGTTAAGTTTAAGATATATTTTTTAGGTTTCATTTGAAGGTCTAATTCATTCACTTCATTTCAGTTTAATGCCAGCATCTGAATGAAATCTATGGCTTTAAAAAAATCATATTAACAGCATAACAGCTATACAGACTAATGTTTAGAGAATGTGGAGCATTTAAAATGACTGAAGTCACTTGATTTATCTTTATTGTTTGCTACAAGTTAAACTTGAAAGGAAACTTACTTTTGTTTTGACAGAGAAGTGTTTCTGTTAAAATTCAGCTGTGGTATTATCTTGTTTTTTATACCTGTTAAAAATATGTATAGTTATTTTCAATAGAATGGATTATTGTCCCTGAGCATCTTGAACTCTATTTAAAAGAAACAGACTTCGGGTTCTGCTCTGCAGTATTTTCATGCTGTTCTTGGGTTAACATCCTCTTCATGAGGAGATTTCCCCCAGGACTGTGGCTCCAGCACAACCACTGACGCAAGCATTGTTGGAAGGTCTGGGAATTACTAACTTCCTATGTACTTTTATGATGAACTTAGTAAGATAACACCACCTAAGGCTCAATTCAGGAATTTTGAACTATTATCAATGGCTCTTCTAACTAGTTGACCTATTATGAATCTTTATTTTCAAAGTACCAAAAGAAGAGTTTAATACCTGCCTTTTGGGTATAGGTATTAAAAGTAAAGGTACTTTTCCTTTCTCTACCCTTTATTGCCTTCTGACATCACTGACTGTGGAAGCAAATGCAGTTTTTGATGTGTCTGTTTATCTATTATAGTATATAGGGCATTACCAATACACCTACAGAAATTTAACTTTTAATAGGTATGGATTATTAGAAAATATGAACTGTATGCTAAGGATCATGGAACTCATACCAATGTCTTTCATCCTAGAAATTGTGATCCACTTAAGAAAAACAGAACAGAAATAATTAGCCTGTATTGCTTGCACAAGAATATTGACTTGGTCCAGTTATATATACTCAGGAAAGTGTATAGGTTCCTGTATATTGGTCACAATGCCAGATATTTTTCACTAGGTTATTCATAGACATAATAAAACATTTAGTTGCTTCTGAGTGAATTCTAAAATTGTATGAATGTTGCTGGCACATATTTTCTCTAAAGGATGGTTTTGACACTGAGGATCTGGGGATACAGCTCAGTGGTGGAGTGCTTGTTTGGCATGCCTAAGACCTTGGGTTTGATCCTCAGCACTGCAAAAGACAAAAAAAGTTTTTGAAAAGTAAATTGAGTTTAATATATCCCTATTAAAAGCAGGTCACCAAAGACAACTGGTACACTAGTTTCTTTACCCATATTTTTTATTGTCTGAAAGCACTGACTTGTAGCTTTCCCCTAATTACTCCTTAGGTGCCTGGGCTTGGGCCCTTGCTCTGGAGAAGCCATGTGATCCAACAACACTGGCCTTTCTGTTTAAGTCAGGAAAGAAAGGGCTGTGTCTTTACTAATTTATCAGGTTCCTTGATGAGCTGCATGCAAAAGGATTTCTGTTGTGGTGTTTTGTTTTTCTTTCCAGCACTTCGTGTATGGAGACAAGTACTTTTCCACCAAACTACATCCCTAGGTCATGTGGTAAACAACGTGCCAAAACCCAAAATCAACTCAAACACTGTCGTAATTACCCAATGCAATATGGGAAAAACATTACCATTATGGGAAATAAACAAGATAATCAAACTACCAGCCCATGACATACATTTTGTAAAATTAGCTTTTATGTTTTATAAATCTCTAAGCTGAAGTCAGGGAAAACTAGTGCAGTACAGTTTTATTAATCTTTCAAGGAAGTTTTCATGTTTCCAACGGTATGTTTTGATGTAACTGATTATGAAATTATTAAAATGGATTTAAAATCACTTATAATTAAAAATTTTAAAATATTTAGCAAAGTCCAGTTTTCTGAGTTCCTTAATTTCATAATATTGCTTTAATTTATATTCCCTTTATTGATTTTATTTATCAGCTCTAAAGCATAAAGTGACAGTGCTGATAGTTTATGTAATTACTTAGCTCAAGAAAGAAACTAACGGTTTATTAGAATGTTAACTCCCTGAGGAGTTTCCTGCTCCATTTCTAGAAGCCCAGAGTAGAATCTGAGCCATGGTATGTGCTGTTTATGAAGAAGATAAATGTAAGACTGATTCACTCAGAAAGCATTTAATTGGTTCCAAACACAGCTCTGTATGTATTTTCTAAAATGTAAGGCTGGCTTACATGTAACAAAAGAGAAATATGGCAATGCAATGATTTTGTCCCATAAATGCAATTGTGGACACCAAGAAAAATTAACTTAAAAAATGACCGTTAAAATAACCATTAGAGATAAATTTAACTTTGCAATTCTAGCATGAAACCAGTATTTTCAGGAAGAGGGCTCCCAAACATTTTTGGAAATGTACCTACTGCATAATTTGTTTAGTCTTTGAAAATATGCATTGGATACAGAATGCACAGTGATAAAGATGAAAGCTCTTCTACATTCAGAAACTGTATCAGGAGTGCTCACCCCTTACCTTCCTGACTCAGGTCCAGCTTGTTCCAGGTGGGTGAAGAGAAACGGCCAGGCTTCTTGCGAGGGCTGGTGTTCACCTTTCTCCAGGCACCACTGTCTCCTTTCTTCTTGCTATAACTTGAAACTATGGACAAAGGGAAACTTCCTCCATTGAAGTGTGCTGTATGCTGTTCTAGCTCTGAAACAACACAAATTATACCTTACCTTGCCAAAAAGAAGGCACAGATAATGTAGTTTCACAGTGTAAAGCAAAATACATTTTCACCTCTCAGAGAGATGAACTCTAAAAATCATAGACCTGCTTAATATCTAAGTTTGGATTTTTTGAACTGGCCCACACCTCACTTGCAAGTCCAGCATTCAAACATGAGTCAGTAATTAAAAGTAGAAACAGAATTGTGGATCCATGTTGTGAAATGTCCATTTATTTCTCTAGTTTCAAAGAGACAAAAGAGAACTCTCTAAAAACAAATTCCAAGGAGTGTTATATAAGGGTGTGAATTTCCTCTCCTTGGGCACAGTCCCACATACCTGACCTTGGGAGGGGACAGCCATGCAGAACGGCTTTATTAAGCAAGATGCTGAGTGCAGCTTTAACCACAGCCTGCTGTCCTTGGCTAGGGTGCTTTTTAGCAGCTGTCTGCACAAGGCCAGGTTGCCTTTTCACAGAGGCTCTTGACAATATTGCTTCTTGAACTCTGGGTGCGATGACAGCATTCCACAGCTTAGACATCCACCTTGCGGGAGAGGGGCAAATCACCAGTTAGGAACAGGCCTCTCCTGAATGACACACAACTCTACAAAGGATAGGCATGAAGACCGTGGGGGGAAAATTAGTGTTTCTATAGACTTGCTATTTTCCTGGGTAGTTTTGTGATAAGTGAAATTAACTAATACCAAAATAGTATGAATTTGCCTCAAAAACACAATGCGTTTCACACAAACTGATTATTTATATCTCTTTCGATCCTGGAATCAATGCTTAAGTATCTGTAGAATGAATGAATACATGAGTAAATAAACCCATGGAAAGAAAGGTACATGAAAGAAAAATAAATCAGATTTTCATAAAATCCATGACTAAATATCTTCTAATAATTTGCCACATCTCCTTAATAAGACACATACATTGCATTTTAATGTTTCTGAAGTTGGGATGTATCACTGGCAAATTAAATCTGCTTGCACCGAGGCAAGTCTCATTCCCTGTTGCATTTGAGTGTGTGCAGCCCCATAGAGCCAGTTATTGCTTTAGGTGGATGATTTGCATCAGTTTCTGGAAGCCATGGGACTGTAGCACAAATATGGAGCACTCGATGCCAATTACTATTCCTTCAAAAAAAGATTACTTTGCCACAACATTAAAATAGCTTGGTGGTAGAGCACTGGCCTTGCATTCATGAGGACTCAGAATCACAAAAAGAGTAAGTACAACTCAAAACTCCCAAACAATCAGCTAATATCATGAAAGGCTACAGAAACAAAACTACATCTCCCAGGATATGTTTTCAAAGCTATGAGACAGTGGCATAAAATTTCAAGCATTGTTAAAACTGTTAAAGCATCAATCTATTGTAAGCTTCTCTATTAATGCCTAATTGTAAGTAATTTTTAAAACAGGTAAAACTACAACAGAGCATAGAAAATTCTGGTCTTTTACAATATGAATCAAACTTATACAACTATAGCAGCAATTCCCAAAAGGGATAAAGATAGCTGGTTTAAAAAAAAAACAAAAAAGCAGGGAAACAACTGTCCCTGGCATTTCTGCCCATCTTGCTTCAACTATCTTTTTAGATTTGGAAAATAGAGATAGAGTTTAGAAGCAGAGGACAGATGTGTTTCCTGACCAGGGCAATAAAGGTAATGTTTCCTGTAGGGGCAAGAGTAGATAGATTGGCCAGCATTCCTCTTCAGAAGATTAGGGTAGAGGTGTTCACAGCTGTGATACTACTACAGCATTACCTGGGCCTCTTAAGTGTTACCTGTGGAACTTGAGGGGAACCTACATAAAGATGTAGCTCAGGCTGCATGCTCTGCTATGGGTGATGAAGTTCTTGTCTAACTTGTCTGCCCTCAATCAGCAAAAATTTCTGAGCCTCTGAAGTGCTTATCAGAGTTTACATTCCACATGAGAAAGGCCAAAATTGGATTCTAACAATCTTGACAGTGGATGTAAAAGAGCCTTAGATTAATTGCAATACTGATGAAGGGAGGAGTAATTCTATCAATACATGGATTTCTGTTTTTTTGTAAGAAAAGCTGTCTAATATTTCTTTCCTTCCAATTAGCTGTTTTTAAACTGATGGTTTTTCTTACAATAGGGGAGCAATATCATTTGCACCTCTGCTTTCCAAAAGTGGATTTTTGTTCAGGATGCCAGAAAATGCTGATCTGCTAGCTAATCACAAAATCCTTACCTTTTACCTCCCTTCCACTCACTCCTGATTTTTCTAATTCGTTACGTATAGGTTTCTCATAAGTTACTATCCAATAAAGGAGGAAGATTTTCAGCTCATCATTGAATGCTGGGTTTTTTGTTTTTGGAGAGTGGGCATAAAATACTTCAGGCAGTTTCTTGTGTGGAATCTTGCAGCAAGACTGCATAGCAAGCTGTGAATGACTCTGATAAGAGTTTTTATTTATTTATTTTTTAAATAAAGGAAAACCTGCTACCCAGCTGTTAGAAAAGTACAGTTGCCTTAGGAACTACCTAACAGACAAGGCCTGGCCACCCTGTGACAAGAGTGGAGAAGCAACATTCCGTGCTATTGACAGGGAGGTGGCACATGCAATCTGGCCCCCATTTTCACCGTGAAACACTACCAAATTTGCCATGGGTCTATTATGTACTCTATTAAGTACTCAAATAAGTTGAAATGGCACTTACTTCACTGTTGCTTGGGCATGTCCTGGGACTACAGGACAAGACAGGAAAAACTTTGGCCCAAGAAGAGCTTCAGGTGTGCCCAAGCGGGCCAGGCAGGAGTTGAGCTGACGCCAGACAGACAGAGCCCAGTCAACAATCTTGCACACGGGGTCACAGGGTGAGGGCACCTGACCTCTGAACTGGAGACAGGGGGATGCAGGGGATTGACTTAGTACAGTACTGCTTCCCTTTTGCTTTTGAAGTTCAAAGTTGAAATGCAGAAATTTAAAAGTATAAAATAAATCTGAATCTGACTTTTCCTTTGCTTGAGGCAGTTGAAGGTGGGATAACAAATAGCAGACACTATTAGGTTTGTTCATGGGCTAGTGTGATAAAAGTTTTTCTCATTTAATTCTCACTGGATGCCTGAGGTAGGCATTTTATCCTCATTTTACATATCAAGAGTAAGAAACTGAGAAATAAGAATAAGATGCAGAAACCCAAGGTCTCAAAGATTAACAGGTGACAAAGTCAAGGCTAGAGTGAGTTTGTTTTATGAGAAAGGGTCTTACAGTTTATATAGCCCTGGCTGGCTTCAAGCTTGAGAGCTCCAGCTTTAGCCTCCTCAGTACTGGAATTACAGGCATGGGCCACCATACCAGGTTTATTTTCATATTAAGATATAATTGCAAAACAGAAATTATATTTATGGTGCACAATGTGATGTTTGTATATGTATACATCATGAAATGACTAACTCAAACTAATTAATATGTTCATTACCTCACATACATACTATTTTTTTAATGCTGATAATATTTAAGATCTATTCTTAGCAATTTTCAGGTATATACTATTAACTGTGGATATTTATTTCTGATAGAGCAACAACTGGTATGAGGATATGGCATTTAGCTGAAACAATAAAGGAGTAATTTATCATACTTAAAATGAAGTTGATAATTCTTAAGCTAAAGAACACCCTTTTCTTCCTAAAGCTTAGTGTTTCTGATGATCTCTATGGACGCTTTCCTCCCTGTGGTTAGCCAGGCTGAATGGAAAGAAGGAACAGGCACAGTTGTATAGATGACTGACAGGGGGCAAGACTCCCCCTTCCCCCAGCTGCCTCCTCAGGAGCATATGTAAAATAAGGAGGAGGAGGTCAGAGCACTCAATTAAACCTAGTCCCTAGGGGAACAATTTTTCCCCCTAGGAAGATTGAATTATTTTCTTAATGACTATCCAATGAACTGCTTTCAAAAATCAGAATGTAGGTATCTGACCAAGAAAGACAATTTTGAAAGGGGACTGAAATTTGCCTACCCAGAGGACCTCAAGAAACAGGTGGGCACCACTTCTCTGTGAAGTACGGATGGTGATTATATGCAGTTTCTCATTTTGCAAGTTGGCTGTTTTATGGTGACTGTGGTTATTATATGACAGTATGTTAGAAGACTTTCCTAAAGGGTCTTTCCAATAAGTAAACCTTCAAGCTACTGTATGTTTTTATTTCCTTCATTCATTTTCATTTAACACAAACAAAATTTTGTAGAGATATTTTTTAAAATTCTATTTTTAAAAATAGAGTTGTTAGAAGCATGAATTACCACTGCTGAGAATGGAAAAAAAAAAAAAAAAAAAGGCCACACCTGTAATTCCAGCACTTGGGAGGCAAAGCAGGAGGATCTCAAGTTCGAGGCCACTCTAGGGTTTTTGTGGGGGAAGCCCTGAGCCTCATGCATGCTAGGACCATGATGTACTATTGAGCTACATCCCCAGCACAGTTTGTGTACTCATGAGCTACAGAAGAAGACAAAAAAAAAAGGTGTGCCCTGGGCTTGTGGAGTCAGTGGTAAGTTCTGGGTATGGTGAGGTCTGAGGGAGGAGAGCCAGCCACCCACAGGTAATACAAGTACCTGCCTTTGGTGGTGGCTCTTAAGTTTCACAAGTTGTAAAATTTTGAATCTGGGCCAGGCTCATTATTCTTAACAGATCCCTTCTGACAACTGTTTAGTATAGATATAAGCTGCTATGAAAATCCAAAAGAAGAAACGACTCAATGCTGCAAGGTCAGGGAAGATAAAAAGAGATGTGGTGGGATGTCTGATCTCTCACAGGATGTAAAGGACATTTGGTGGTGAGGAGAGGTATTTCAAACATAGGATGGAGAAGGAACTGGAGATTGTGTGTTTGTTCGGGGGGGGAGCATGAAAATGGATGCTGAAGTAGATTTAAAAAATGACATGGTTCTGCAAATAAACAATCTATGTAACTTCTATTAATTCAAGGATTTAATCTCTCTGCTTAGCACATCCCCCAAGGAACAACTGCACCATCACACTGTCCTCTAGTTCCCCACATATCATGCCTTTCTTCCCTATGTTCAGGATTTGTTGTGATTGCTGTTGCTCCTGCCTGGATCCCCTGACTCCCTGTTCTCAGGTAACTCTTCCCCTTTAGATCACAGACTAGTGTAATCTAAAAGGCCTTACATGTGACCACAGAGAGGCCTTTTGGCTTTACCAATAATCATGATACTGGGACATGGGACAAATGTGAACACTGGTATAGTCACATGAAGGAAATAATTTGGCTGAGGAAAAGCAAGAGTGGTGCAGTGATAGAGCAGCTCTGCTAAATTGTTATCACTGTGTTACATGAGGCTTTGGGCTCTGTTATAATAACTTCCTTTCTCTTCAACAGAAATAATCATTATGTATCCCTCACTTTCTCTGATAGTCTTCCAGCAAGAATTCTGAGATCAGTATTACAATTAAAGAGAACTAAATATTAATTTCTTGCTAAAAATGCATAATTATTTCCTATTAATACTAGTAGGAAGCTTAGTATTATCCTGAAAGTCCTATTTTCGTATACCCCTGAAAGTATTAATGAAGAAATGATCAAGCCCCAGCATGTACCCAAGTGCCTACAATGATTAGGTTCTCTGATGCTACAAGATTTCTGATGTTTTGCAGTAGTCATGTACTGCAATAGTACATGTACCCCAGGAATTCATTTTATTAGACTATTTGAAGTGATTCTCAGTAGAGGAAGGGCATTACCCCTTTTCCTTCTTTCTATTCATTATAGTACATCACATTCTCAAGCAGTATGGAAAAGAGAAGGGCTCCTTTTCAAACTGTGTCAGAGTTGAGGGAGGGTATGCCAATCCTACAGAATAAAACTGGTATCTTCTGTGACTTATATGAATTACCTTTAGCAATGTCATTTAAATAAGCTAATGGAAGTATGAATGATTTGAAAATCTATAGAGGAACAATGTTCATTACCCAATTTCTCTTCCTTTTTGTTGAGCCTGTACAATGGCTGTGCTTTGGCCAAGGGAGTATATTTATAACTATGCAACTAATTTCAATGTAACTTGGGGTAGAGTTCTCTAATTAGGAATTTGAGACCAATTCAAATCACTATGACAGACGCTGATCAGTGAATTACCAAAAGCCATTCCCATCTCACAATGCTTCCGTTACCTGCCTCCCGTGATCTACCCATGCACTCAAACATGGGCACTCACACTGTAACATAACAGATGCCGAATTTTGTTCCAGTATTTGGTAATGAGCTTAGGTCTTGAGAAGGTCTAGCAAGCAGTAGGCTAGAACTGGGTGTTGGACATGAAACTAGATGTGGTTTTTAAAACAGTAAAAAGAAGTCATGATTCTAGAAAAGATGCTTTCTTCCCTGATAAGGAAACTGAGGAAGTCAAAGCTCTCCATCCTTCACTGCACCCCACTTATTGCCTTTGAATGTGTTGGGATGAGGGCATGCCATCTAATGCCCTGTGAATATGCTGTAGGCTTGAAGGGAAAAATCAAGGGTTACCAAGACCTGGGACCAGAGGCTATAGAAGTGCTGAAACACCTACCATGAGACACCTGGTTATCTGAAGGGAAAAGAGACTCCTTTTTTTGAAGCAGCTAGCAGCGGCAAGTTTGTAGCCAAAAATACCAAACTGATAAAGTGATGGTACTATTCTCCCAGTATGTCCCACTGTGCAGGATTAAATGAGAAAATCTTACTAAACTGAGTTCTGTTATTTCAAAAACACCTTGACATTCAGCTGTTAGTAGAGTTTAAGACTATTAAACTAAATAATAATGTGTGAGATTTCTTCAGTACTACATTATTTTTATTTAGGAGACTACACTATACTTATTATTCTGTGAAAGAAATCAGTAAAAATCATTATTACTCTTGAAAATGTGTCAAGAGATAAAGAATTCTAACTTTTTGTGTGACTTTGTAAATTTTGCCATAACATAGTTTAAGAGTCATATATTAAACCTTGCTGGAGAGGATGGATAATGTTCTGAAGACTCTAAGGAAGTTTTCCTTAAGAACAGTGATTAATTTCCAACCCACCCTTCTATAGCATTGAGAACTTGGTGAGATTCCTACAGAACAGTTAATGACTGCTAAAAACCTATTCACTTTTTCTTGTACTTCGTATCATCCAAAAACTATTACAAATTTCACAAGCATTTATCTAATAACAATAACCACAGTAAAATTTCCATACAGTTTCTTATCCTTAATACAGTCCAGACACTGTTATGAGTTCCACATTTGTTATCTTATTATCTTATTGAATAGTCTCTGATGGTGCTGCCTAAGGCCACATTCTAAGTGAACTCCAGCCCCAAACTCCTGACAATTGAAACCTCCCCTGCTATCCTGCCAATAGGCTGCAGCTGACACTGTTACCTTGTTTACAACTTTCCTTCTTAAGAACCTCTGCAGCAGTCCCTGCATGGGCTCGCAATCCCACCGCAGCTGAACCCAGCGGAAATGCTGCTGCACCAGCAAGTCAGAGCCCTGGAGACAGGCCTTGGCAATGGTTCCCAGCAGAAAGCAGTTCTCATGAAAGTAGTAACATTCAGATGTTCCATTTCCTAAAACAACAAAGCCAGGGTCCAATCGCATCGAGCTATATTATGGACCAAATGCAAATTAAAGAACATGATAAAAGCGAGAGCACACAAGTAAGGGGTGAGGATAGGTAAGACACCTAAAAAACTAGTTAGCATTTGTTGCCCTTAACGCAGAGAAACTAAAGCAGATACCTTAAAGCAACTGAGGC